TTTATTTATAAAAACTAAAAATTACATTTCTATGTTCGGAGAATGTCTGATCAGCCTTTCTGCTCCAGAACAGTGACTTATGTTAAACACTCTAGGTTTGTCTTGATGCATTCTGACTTTACAAAGTTACAGTATGTTAATAATTTTAACTCTCACAAACCACTCATGAGCACATTAGAATTCTGTGAAGGATCTGCTGATCAGTGACACGATCTACTGAGCAAAAGTACACTTGGAGAACGGCTCACAGGAAACAGTGACAAAGATAAAAGTGGAGCAGAAACAGCTAAAAATTAATGCAAAATAAACACATTTTGAAGAACGTAAGAGATTTTTGGGAAAATGCTGACATCTTTCAGTGGTTATAATAAACTAAATCACTGCAGTTCTGAAAAGACACATTTTCTCATTTAAAGTGCAAAAACAACAACAGAAAATCATTTTAGATTCATAAATGTGCCATTTTTACATTACAAAAAAAAAGTTGGGTATATCTTCTGGACAGGTTCTTCTTGAAGAAAATGTTTCATCTGTCCTCCAAGAGAGTCCTGTTTTGCATATGAACAAACAGTTTTGATTATCTTGTTTGTCCACCATGTGGAAACACTGCTTATTAGGCTTAATTCCTCAAAGAAGTCTTTTAGAAAAGAGACAGAATGTTTTTTTCAACAAAGAACAACCTGTCCAGAGGACCTTCTCAACTTTTTTTTTTTGGATTTTTCTCCCTGGATTATTAAGATGCACCAAGACACCTAACTTTGAACAACTGTATCACATTGAGGACTGAGTGTAAGACTTCTTTACACTCAGAGTTCATACATCGCAAAACTTACACACAATCCAATGAGTGTTTGTGGGCCTTGACCCAGAAACCTTCAGTCCTGAACTGGATACTGCCCCGTGGCATCGTCTCTGGTTTCAGTCAAAATCCCACGACCTGGATCAACAATGAAACCGTGTTCCCTGAGTGGTGAGGAGCGCAACATCTGAGACGGTTCAAAACACAAATGGTAATGAAGATTTTGTGCTCGAACACAACTCAGAACTGACCTCTGTAGCGATTTTATTAGAATCCATAAAAACCGAAACACAAGTATGTTTGTGGGTTTTAGCAGGTATGCTGTTTTTATAGAAGTATCTTGAAATCACACTGAGACACGATGTTGCAAACAGCCACTGTCTTAAAAGCTGAAGATTCCTTGAATGAATGCATATTGCCCACCATGTTTCACCAGTGTTTTAGACTAAAATAATCTCATGTGGAGAGATGAAATGTCTAATCTCATTAATAAAATCTGTTTTCTGGTTCATGAGATATTTTGCTGACAGACTCAAGACTAATAACACTGGGTGTGTGCCCTGTATTGTTGGGCTATGAATGTGGCACCATCTACTGGTTCAAATCTACATTTCATGCAACATAGACCTCCTAATGTTCTCTTGGTTTTGCATCTTTGTTCATGTTTCTCACTCTGGTTCACTTTCAAACAAAATAAATAGTTTACAGATAATCTGCTTGAAATGTAAAGAGTAAATGAGATCACCTTCTATACAGTAACGTTAGTTCATGAGAAAGTTATTGCTCCACACTCTGTGACCGTGCATTTGATTCTTTACAGTTGATAGAACAGGAGTGGAGAGAGGCAGTGGATGTGGTCTGTGCAAGATTAAAATCAGACACCACTCTCAGCAGCAGAACCACACTTTCCACAGAACAAGTGTGCCAACTCCTCAAACTGTGCCTGGAGTCAACCTACTTCTCATACGGGGGGCAATATTATAGGCAGAAACATGGGTGTGCCATGGGATCCCCAGTTTCTCCTATTGTTGCAAACCTGTACATGGAGGAAGTGYAAAAGAGAGCCTTGATGTCCTTTTCAGGGGTGCCACCGAGCCATTGGTTCAGATATGTTGACGACACCTGGGTTCAAATTAAAGCCCAGGAAGTCCAACATTTCACTGATCACATCAACTCTGTGGATGAATATATTAAGTTCACACGAGAGGATGTAAAAAATGGCAGGTTGGCGTTCCTGGATTGCGATGTCTCGGTTTCGGATGGAGGACGGTTGGAAACTGGCGTATACAGTATCTTAAGCCCACCCACACAGACCAATATTTGCGTTTTGACTCCCTCCACCCACTGGAACACAAGTTAGGAGTGATCAGGACTCTGTACCACAGAGCAGACAGTGTCCCTACAAACCCAGGAGCCAGGCAGAAAGAGAAATCACACACACGACAGGCCCTGGAGCAGTGTGGTTATCCTGACTGGGCTTTCCTGAAAGCAGACAGGAAACACAGACAGGATTCCATGCAACCTTCAGGTGAAAATGAAGACCCCAAACCCAGACCCAAACCAGTGGTTATTCCGTATGTTGCGGGTGTTTCGGAGAAACTGAGACGTTTATTTTCTAAACATGATGTCCCAGTAGCTTTCAAACCCCAAAACACATTACGGCAAAGGCTGGTTCACCCCAAAGATCCGGTGCCCCGGCACAAACAGAGCAATGTTGTATATGCTGTTAAGTGCCAGGAGGACTGCGACCAGTTATACATCGGGGAAACAAAGCAGCCACTGTTCAAAAGAATGTCCCAACACAGACGAGCTACATCTAATGGCCAGAACTCTGCAGTTTTCACTCATTWACAGGCCAGCGGTCACTCTTTCAGAGATGAGGATGTTCTCATTCTTGATAGAGAGGAACGTTGGTTTGAGAGAGGAGTAAAAGAAGCCATTTTTGTGAAGAAAGACCGTCCATCATTAAACAGAGGTGGAGGCCTCCGTTTTCAGTTGTCCCCCTCCTACAGCGCGGCTATTGCCAGTATCACTCCACCCKCTGTTCACAATAAGTGTTAATTAGGTGTCAACGATAGCCATGTGATGTGAGTATCAGTCACATGGAGGCAGGGCTTAAAAGCCTGAATTTTGCCTGAAACTCTCAGACTGAAGAAGTCTCTTGGAAGAGAGATGAAACATTTCATTAGAGAAGAACCTGTCCAGAGGACCTATACATTTTTTTCTTTTTGATAGAACAGGAGATCTGATATTTCCCTCTAAATAATAATTATAAAGATTATTATTGATAAATTTATTTGATGGAGAAAAGGCACAGATGTGTTATTTTTCTTCTTTCTGCTGCCTTTCATTTCACTTTATTAGTTTTCGTTATGTTCTGTCTGGTTTCATGTTTTATTTTGACTTTATTCTGGTTTTCTGTCATGTCCCTCTGTTTTCCTCCTGTCTGCCTTTGCTCGGCCCCGCCCACTCACACCTGATCCTCACGTTTCTTTCCCAGGTGTTTCTCGTTTTAGCTCATTAGTTCTCCCTTTATATTCTGTCATTTGTCCTCAGTTCTTGTCAGATCGTTGTTCGTTTACTGTTGATGTGTCATGCCAAGCCAAGTATCTTGTTTGCTGCCATGTCCACGCTTTTGTGTTTTTGTTTTAATAAACCTATTTTGTCACCCTCACTCAGTCCTGCATCTTAGGGTTCTAAATCAACCAAGCTCAATCATAACATTTTTTTGTATTTTGTTTTGGATTTTATTTGTTTTTTTTAAAGAAATGAATAAATGAAATGAAAAAAAAATTCAAGATCAAGAAGTAGATCAAGAAGAATCGTTTGTCATTCATACACAACGTCAAGATGCAATGCAGAACGAAATTTGCAGTTTTGAACATCCGTCATATTTGAACAATATAAACTGAGTTTAAAACCCATTAAATGCTGTTATCTGTGTTTACCAGGCAGTCAAACTCTGTGCTCATTTACTGGGAGTTGTATTACTTTTTAAAACAGCACTTTATTTAAAACTGCAACATTTAAGTGTTTGCTTTTTTTTTCTTTTTAATTTCAAGACCTCAACATCCTTGAAAAACTGAACGACAAAACAGGCTGGTGTATTGGGGGAGCATTTATTTCCATTGTGTTGTTTTGCCATCCCAAAAGGCACATGAGGTATTAAAAAAGAAAATGCTTTAATTTGTTTCAGTAAATGTTACACATCGGCTGCTCAGAACCACACAAGAAATCTGGCCACAAGGCGTATTTCTGGATGAAAGGTGATTTCCTAAAACACTTGGCTGCTTCTCTGTCACACTTGCAGACGAACCTTTCACATCGGTCCTCTAAATCCTCTGGAAAGAAAAACAGAAAAGACTTCTGTTATTAAACTATAATTATTATACTTTTTTGTTTCACTACTTTTAACTTTTATTTAACGTTTCACCCACTATAGCCTTTAGCAAGTCAGAACTTCTGCCTTTTTTTTCTAAAATTGTCATAAACCAAACATGTTTTTGGTATTCTTTGCTACGTCCAATAAAAAAAACAACAAATTTGTGCTAGTTTGGATCAACGTGAAATATCTCAAAATAAATAAATCAACCAGTGAGTCATTTTTTAATAGCAAAGAAGTAATTCTTATTTCCATACCACACTTAGCCTCCGCGTCCTCACACGTCCACACGTAGGGGGACGTTTTCGTTTCGCAGCCTAGATCTTCTGCATCTCCGTAACAGCAGTCGTGCTTGTGGCAGCACCTGCAGAGAAACAAACGGATTATTCTGACCTCTGAGCTCCGTCGTGAGTGGGCCGGCTCAAGGGCAGCGGCAGGTGGGTGGTCGTGGGACACCACAGCTATTTTAAAGGCAGGGTCAGGATCACCGCTTTGGGTTTTTCCACGACAGCTATTTTGTAGCCGGCTGGTTTTAAGTGGATTGAGATGTCTTGTGGTGAAAATGAAAAACAAGGAGACAATAATTAAGATTTGGGTGTGGAATTGTAGACCTATTTTAAAGCTCTTCTGGGACGAGTCGACTGAATTGGGGTGATTTCGTCTTGGATGGTGTTTGTGGCTGAGACGTTGTCAAAAACGGAAACATAACTTGATGAAGAGGGGAAAAAGCAACAAGAAATGGAGGAAATAATTTGTGCGTGTACCATCTCTGGAGTGGAGAAACAAAAACAGACTGAATTATATCCTTTGGCAGAGATAATTCACGGGTAGCTAATATACAAAAGCTGCTGATTAACTGCACTTTTAGCACATCCTATAATCAGGTGTCCATGTTTGAAAAAAAAAACAACTAAAAAGCAGAATTATTGTTTTTGTTTATTTTCTTAACTGAGATTCCAGGGGCAGCCTCACCAGTCGGTCAAGTCTCTGGGCCAGCCTTGACCCCCCAGCCCACAGTAGCACCCGTATGACAGATAGGACAAAGCGGATCTCCCTGTGCTGCATTTGATGGCTCCTGCCAGCTCCAGCAGTCCTCTTTTTTCCCGCTGGGAACTGTGCGCTTCCACAGAAACCACAGCCACTGCAAAGAGAAATAAACAACTGAAGAGGAGGAACAAACTTAACTCGCCCCGCGTCATCACATCTCATCTGAAAGGATTTATATATGGTTGTATACGCAGGTGGACACATTAAAAGCATAAAAAAAGATATAAATCATTGTAGACCATTTAATTAGCAGTAGTTTCTAGACTGAAGTCCACACTCTTCTTAGCAACTTACTCGGAGAACTGATTTCATTTCTGGCATCTCATTAAGGCTCAGCATAAAACATCATAAAACACTTGCTAAAATTCTGCAAAATTAGAAACAATTGTTGAGCAAAATCATTCACTGAATCACTGTCTGCAAACTCAACTCAAAGCTCTGTTATCCCTGTTCTATAAATAACTTTTCTCGTCTATTTTCACCGCCACACAGGCTGAGGTTCAAGCTCAAAGTGAAACAATCAGCTTACCAGATAAGAGGAGAAGTGTTCGGTAAAGAGCCATCACGGCATGCAACAGGCAGCTGAACTCTTCCCAGATAGTGTGCCTGGACCTCCACGGTCTGAGTGCAGTGTAATAATGAAGTGTGGAGCTTTATTTAGAGGCTGTCTGAATAATCTCCTGCAGCATCATCATTGGCCAGCGGCTGTAATCTAGTGTTTGTGGAACTGGGCTCCCTCTGCAGGAAACAACTGGTTAGCTAGATGAATGGATGGATGGATTAGTTTATCTTGCTGAAATTATACAATATGTAGAATAAACTTAGTCTTTTTTAAATTAAATTTTTCAAAATCCTTCCATGATTTCTGTAAATCTGGTTTGCATCCGCCTGTAGTGACAGAATGATCTGATCAAGTGATTGAAAGAAATGGATGAAACTGACAGATAAAGTTTACTATGCACTGGCGACAACTCAGCATGAGAGATATGTTGCAAAACATAGCATGACATACCAGTTAAACATGGCAGATCATGTTAGTTATATGTTTTTCTTTCAACCACCAACTTGTTGGTCTGAATAAGAAAGTTTGAACTGGAACTATCAGCATTTGATCAACCACATGTAAATCTTTTTTTCTGTTTTTAAAGAACTTTAAATTAAGATTAAACCTTAGCAAATCAAGTTATAAAAAATATTATCAGAAAATGTACAGATTTATTTATTCAGGTTCATGTTAATCTATTGTTTGCCATTAAAATCTTGACAACACTGTGATTTATATACATCGTTTTATGCCTAAGATTTCCATAAATTAATTTTAATGGCTGTTAACAGTATTTTCTCATTTAGGGATTGATATTGAATTGATAAAAAGGGAGATCCAAAATCCTTCCCATAAAAATATTTGCCTCTAATGTGTTAACAAACAGAAGGAAGAATTTTGAACCTGTTTTTATCTCTGGATATTGTTTTTATTTTCACTAAGAAGTGTGTAATACAAAACATAATCATTGAATTTGTAAAGATACTTTTTGTTTTAAAAAGGTTCTGTATTCACCTGCAGAGTCGTTTTTCATAATAAACCTTGTAGTGTTCACTCATCACCGGCGGGGGCAGCAGAGTGCGCATGTCAGTAACCGATCTACCTCATTTTATTTCAACGAAGAAGAAGAAGCAAAGGGCGGCCTTCATCGACAGCATCAGCCAAGTTCATTTTAGCTAAAACGAAAAAAATAAATAATATATCACCCCCTCTTGTTATATACAGACTTAAGGGTTGTTCGGAATTAAGACCCATTCATGTAAGTATCTAAATCAACTAATGTTCAGCAGTCTCCATGGTAATTACTTAGCCTCTGGCAGGAGCTAAATGTCTCCAGATCGCTATTGTTTGCGTTGAGGAACTAGTTTAACTCAGACATGCCGATGCTTTGTTACGTTAAGACTACTTATTAGAAACTCAGGCGTTTCATTACCTGTTAGGCCTGTGCGTGTTTCTGACAACAGTCTGAAAACTATGCTTTTCTTGGCTACGGCTGTTTTGTTTCAAAGTAAAAATCGCTGAAGTTTGCTATCAGACGGTAATGATGGCTAACGAGAAGTAGAGTCGACGGTCCCTGTCGGCGGGTAACACACGTGCACTAGATTCTGTGCGCCCATTATCGGACAGCTAAACTAGTAAATCGCTTTAAAAACCCAGAATGCCTGAGGTTTTTGTATGAACACAATTTTATGGATTTTATACGCTAAATTGTCACCCCAATGACTGTAATTTTGCATTTGCTGATTATTAGGAGGGGCACAACTGCTCGAAGCTTGGCTAACATAGTAGTCCATTATCTAATTTGCTACACCACGATTCAAATATATATTAACGTTAGACGTTTTAAATAATAATAAATTGTGAATATCAGCTGTGATTATGGGTGGATTACGGTCAGATTTGACGAGGTTTTGCCAAGGAATTGTGTCATAAAAGCAAGTAAAACCTGGATAGTGGTTAACAGTGTATGTATCACCCCGTTCGGTTTGAAATGACATAACGTGGCGATATTTCTACGCRGGTTATAAAACAAAACACCAACACAGAAATACATTGAAACAATTCAGTCATATCATCAACGATAAACTGATTTCTTGTCTCGGTTTTGCCTCTTGAGCTTTAAAATGTAGCGTACATAACCCTTATTTCCGGAACTACAAACGTGTCGTCATTCTTAAACCCGGAAGTAGTAGGCATGCAGGGTGAAGTCGCAAAAAAAGATGGAAAAACGTCTCATACTCTTAACAAATAAAGTAATAATCACTGAAATAGGACTATCTGCTGATGATCATAAATGAGAAATAAGTTATATGTGTCCATTTCCTGTTTTGTTTATTTAACCCTTGTTTCCTTTCAAAAGTCTTGATAATACTGTTGGTCTTTTAGGTGCCGTCTGAGGAGAGGATATTGAAACACGCAGATATGTCCAGTGTGTTTCGGGACAGAAGGAGTCGCTGGCAGGAGATACAGAAAGGCCTTCAGTTTATTCAGTAAGTTCGATTTGTGTTAGGACTTGTTCGCAATTTTCACAAGTGTGCAAAACATACATCTTTAGGAGTAGTGTATTCTGGGGTGTGTAAAGTCTCAACTAAAAATTAGCATTTGCTTTATGTGTTACTATGAGCTACAAGCTTTAATAATTTACATTTAACTCCAGGTAGAAAATGGCCAACAATGTTCTTTTTTTAATCTAGTTTTTGCGTTTTAATTAGAAAATCTTTTCCTTTCCAAACTAGATGTTAAAACATTGAACTTTTAAGTTGCTATTGCTCTATGAACACAATAATGCAAGCTGACATTTCAAAAGAATAGTTTGTTACTGTTAAAAACAAGCCTGTTTAATAGGGTTGGGCATAATCATATCGTGTGCAATTAATCGTCAGAAAAACATTAATCGATTAGTTTTTGTCACTTGACGATTAAAACGATTAATGCCACTAGACAGACTGACTGGGGATTACTCCGGATAGTCCACTCGCTGCCCCTATCTGCTTCAAATATGACGAACATTAAAATTAAAGTTCGGTYATTTATTTATCTATCAACACAATTTAAAATATGATGTATAGCCTGAAATCTGTAATTTTCACGCAATTTGGAACAATTTTTTACAAAGAGCAAATCTTTACCAATAAATTGGTCATGTGACTACAAAATAAGGATGTCAAGGGACTCCAGGGGATTAATCGTCAAATTAATTGTTATTGGCTAAATACCACAATTAATCGTGATTAATATTTTTGCCAATATTGCCCAACCCTACTGTTTAATGAACAGTTAACCCTAATTTCTATAAACTTAAAGAAGGAAAGGGCCAGCAGTGAAATAGAGCTGATATAAGACAGGATTTGTGTTATGGCTGTAAAAGTTGGCTGGCCTTTTTGTTACTGTGGTTGTCAGAATTTAATAATAAGCCCCAGAAGAAGGGAACAACTGACTCTTTGCGTCCTCTAAATTTTGATAGAAGATTGATCTGTAGGGCTGGGCTTAAAAAAATCAATTTAATCGATCTGGATCGATTTTATGTTTCACAAGATCGATTTTTCCCCATGGGTGTTGTGTGCGATGAAGCTGCACGTTTCCATGCTGTGCGTCACTCCTGGCTTGCCGTAGGTTTACAGCCAGTTGACGGTCAGTGCTAACATTAGCTCCCGACAACAAGTTGTCTGTGGCAAAACAAAAGAAACAAAGGAGTCACTAACATTACAGCTGATCCTCAGCTGAACTTAAAGATAACAGAGGCCATGACAACTTTTGTTTGCAAAGATTTGAGCTCAGACGCAGTAGCGGGAAACGAAGCTTCGAGCGGCTCGAACCAAAACTACGATATGCAGGGGTAGACATAAGGAATATTTTTCAGGTTGTCCAGCGGACAACCTGTTGACAAAACCTGGATGTCCGCAAAACATTTTGGTTGTCCAAAAGAATCTCAAGAAAAATGTAATTTAACAAGTATATTGATCTGTAGACAAAGTTTATTATATATAATTGTTCTCAGTCAGCCAGGTTGACAGGATCTGCGTGAATATAACGTCCTCATTCTCTTTCTTTGAAATAGATTATTTAAGACTCAGGGAGTAAAGCAGCAAAAATGTTGCTAATAAAACCTAGAGYTTACCCAACATTCATAAACTTCTTTCTGCTCATAGGTCAAACATTTTCACTTAAATAGGAGTATACTGTGTAGATGACTTTATTAAAAGTTACAGTTCAGTGCTCTGTTTGGCGTTACCAAGTTTTTTCTCCCTTTCATTTTTACAAATGACAAACACCCGCGGCAGAGAACTTTAATCAAGGTCTCTTTTTTTTTTTCTTGGTTGTCCACCGGACAACCAGGAGACAGGATCTGGTTGTCTGAAAGGAAAGTGGGTCGTCTCGGACAACCTAAACAATGGTTATGTCTACCCCTGGATATGTAAACATCTGACTGAAACTGTTCTCTGCATGTATAAATGTGTGAAAGATGTCAGTCTAACAAAATCGTTTAGTTTTGTTACCAGTATTATTTATAAATTTTAGAAACTTCTTAATGTAAATCACAGTGATGAAATGTTTTACTTGAAGTACTTTTTTTTCTTTCTTTCTTCTTAAGTTTTATTGAACAGAAGCTAACAACCATTACAAATATACAGTATTCATATGCTCAAAACAGGGGGCCCAAGTATACACTTATATTATCCCACCTCTTCTCCTGTAAACTTATTCCATCACTTCTTAATGATCAAGAAAATTATTCTTAGTTTCTTAAAAAACTAATGTATCCAACAACACTTTCTCTTGCAATTCCTTTTTACTTAAAACCCTTTGAAAGTTGAGACAGTTTTGTTTCCAGATTAAACTCCAATTTACAAGTTTGCCCTCAATGTTTATAATTTTACCAATGCACCAAGTTAGAATTAATTTCTACRATTTACAGAATTTGTTCCTTTGAGAATGTCTTCTAWATCAAAGTAAATGTGTTACTGCATGATATCCTTAACTAATTTAAAAATCAATCAAACTGAATCGTTGTGAATCGAATCGAATCAATTTGGCAAATGTGAATCGATACCCAGCCCTATTGATCTGTAAGTAATGTTAAAACAACACATAGGCAGTGTGTTTCAATGTAGCATGAGCATTTTTTTATGTTAAAAAAATAGAACTGGTTTTAGGGTTGAGCCCTGTTGTCTCTGTAGTCAGTAAAAAATCCAATACATCACTATTATGAAATGCTGTCCTATTTAAGAATAGCACATCCAGTTATTGTGAGTGAGCATGGGAGAAAATCTTAGTCATGTTCCTTTTGTCGAAAAAACATTCTGATTGCGTCATGTTGGTTAGATCAGAAGTGAGGCAGCGTACATTGGTTGTGTGTCTGCTTTGTTTTTTCTGGCTAGTAAAGACTAAATGTTTGTTCACACATTGTTCTAGAACTGTGCTGCGCAGCATAAAGTTACATTTCCTCTTATCTGATGGAGCTCTTTATTAAAAGAAAAAGCAGCGATACATTACCAGAGCACATCATTTTGTGTCATGAGGTGAAACCGTTTTAATTTCTGGTTAATACATTACATCATTTATGACTGACTTGGATGACCCGTGACCGATCCTACAAATGTGTCACTGAAAAACAGCCAAGTGTGTGATAAAAGCTACATTCAGTTGTAGATGATTCTTTTCAAATAACTGGATAATTTTCTGTGTAATGACTTCATATTCTTCTTAACAAAACTAAATGTTTTGAATCTGTTTTCATTTGTTGCCTGCCCTAGTTACAGTGCACACGCTTAAAATGTCACGTTCCTCAAATCCAGTGCATTGGAGCAAATACAACTTTTTTTTTGCCAGGCAGAAGCAGAATTTAGCAGAAAGGAACAGCTTTCTCATTCGATGTTTGATATCACAACCTTTTACTTGGTTTGTGCAATATCATCTGACCTGTTTGATGTTGCATCACATTCCTGAGTATTGATGGAAGCTCAGGGAGAGTTACTACAGACTTTTCTCAACACCAAATGTGGATGTTTGGATTTGTTCACAGCCAGTATCTCACTTGGCTGTGAATGTTGGAGACTAGATGGCAATTCATGATCTATTTTTATGTGCAAGGCAAAAT